AGAAAGAAAGAAAGAAAGAAAGAAAGAAAGAAAGAAAGAAAGAAAGATTTCCAAAGATTTCTCTCTTTGGAAGCAATGAGTAATTGTCTGCTGCCAACTCCTTGGAGGCATCAGGAAGGGCATCTGGCCAGCAAACGCTCAAGCTTTGTTCAGTTGCCCTGACTCTACCCCGATGCAAGGAATTACAAAATACAGAGATGTGGACAATACAATATAGGAGATAAAATATTAAATTAAGATAAAGCCATACATCATTATAATATGGAGCCATAGAATTGCCAAAAAGAAAAAAGAAAGCAGAAAGAAAGAAAGAATCCAATGGGGAAAATATTAATTGGAAATATATGTGCTTGAATGATAAAAACTTTTCAAACATTAGTATATAATTTTTCTGTCCAAACATTTATTAGGAAGAAATGTTTTTAATTAATTCATTGAAAAAAAACAATAAAGCAACTCATAAAAAGATATCCAGTACCCATAATGCGTTTTTTAAAATATTCTCAGAATTATTCTACACTTGTGAGGAATTTTCTCCTTATTATCTTTTTAACTAATAATGTCATTTATCAGGGAATTCTTTTGTTCTGCATATCCTTAATGCACAATGCATCTTACTTAATGTGTTAATTCTTCCATAGATACTATGTACCTTATTGAAGTATTTATTGAAGTATGATTAGTATGGTTGTCTGCAGAATTTCTCTTAGCAGCTATTGAAGGTTGTGGCCATTTACTATATTTTGGCACAGGAAGTTCTGCATATTTGTTATACAGAATATGAATGTTAACCTTTTATCCACTGTCTTTTGCAAGGAATTGGTCAATTATTTCCACTGGATGGCTCCAGACTCTAGTAATATGTATAAGAGAGAATACATCATCCACTCTCATTGTTTCTTATTTTTTGTTGTGGTCTAATCAAATGGTAGGGTCCAGAAAGAGCAACATTGACTAAACCTGTTCATGGTTCTGGTTGGAAATTGTATTTCTGTTGAATTTGGGAGAATTGGATAATGCTGGCAATTTCATTCAAAGAATTAATGTTAATGTTTGAATTAATTTCATTCAAAGAATTAATAGGATGCCAGAATTGTGATTTCCCCAAACTCTTGAACTCCTATTCTTGAATCCATGAACTGTGTTCCATGCAGGATTCTCTAAAAGGGGATAGAAGGTGAACATTTTTATCCCTGATCAGTTGGCATACAGGCAAGATCTGTATTTTTGATACCTGAAACACAGCCTCAAAGCAGAACAGGGTTTTTGTTAGCTCTTCAAAGTAGTCAAGATGAGAAGCCCAACAGTGTATTCTAGCTTCATCATTAATTTAGTTTACTTTATTGTCATTACACCTCGTACAACGAAATCAAACACCATCTTCAGTGCACATCATGACCATGACCATGAAAATTAACACAAACACACACCTTTCACCCTCCACACATTGAACCGAAAACCCCCAAACACCGCACCAACACTGCACTATACAGCAGAATTCAAAAGAGCTACTGCCTGGGATAGAAGCTGTTTTTCAGCCTATTTGTCCTTGTTTTTATTATTCTGTACCATCTGCCAAATGGTAATAGTTCAAAAAAAGGGTTCCCAGGATGAGACGGATCTTTGAGAATGGTTTGAACTTTCTTAAGGCAGCAGGAGCTATACAGCTCTTCCAAAGAGAGGAGAGGGCAACCAATGATCTTCTGGGCAATGACATTAACCCTCTGGAGTGCTTTCCTATATGCCACTGTGCAACTGGCAAACCATACAGAGGTGCAGTAAGTTAAAATGCTCTCTATGGTGCAGAGGTAGAGGATCACCAGCAGTTTTTCATTCAGTTGTTGTTTTCTGAGAAGTTTCAGGTAGTATAATCTCTGCTGGGCCCTTTTGACCAGTGCTGCAATGTGAGCACCCCAGGTCAGGTCCTCTTTTATGGTAACACCCAGAAACTTAAAACTGACCACTTGCTCCACTTGGTCTCCATTGATAAGCAAGGGCTGGATGTCTGATCTGTTCCTTCTATAGTCCACTATAAGCTCCTTGGTTTTATTGGTGTTGAGGACCAAGTTATTGTCTCCACACCACGAAAGCAACTGATCCACTCCATCTCGGTAGTCAGACTCCTCCCCCCTGGAGATGAGTCCCACCAATTTAATATTTAATTTAATTTAATTTAATTTAATTTAATTTAATTTAATTTAAT